ATGTTGTCAGGACTGAAGCATTTTCAGTTACACAGTATATTAAAAGCACAGAACAATTCCATTCCCAGGGGCTTGCACCCCATTTGTCTACAAACCTAAATTATCTTTCCCCCCAAAGTTTTCCCACTTTCTCCCCCGTACCTTGGCATTTTGCAGCTCGGTTCCTCCTTTCCACTCATTTCATTACCTGATGCCTTGGATGCTAAACAACCTTCCTACCCAGCATCACCAATGGTTCAGCATATCCCATCATCCGGTATTACGAAGCGTATATAAAAATATGGCTAACACGCATGACGGGATCTATAATCCTGGCAGTATTGTCTGCTCTTTCATTTACCTCCAATAAAAGCTTATGCTACAGCAGCAACCTGGGTCAGAGGACGTTATCACACGGGGGCAAATCTGCTGGTTAATCCACACAAATCCCAAACAGAAACTGGATTTGTGCCTCGCGTTTTCACACGACGTTGCACAGAAACTGGACAGAAACTGGACAGAAACTGGTGTTAATCGAGATCTTTTGAAATTCGGTTGTTTGGAGGAAATGCAAATGCGAAATTACGGTAAATTCGCATTTACCGTAATGTGAAAAGCAAATGCGCATTTGGGAGCATTTCCCTGCTTTTCCCATTGTTCCAGTGATCATTCCTCTATCTGCGCATGTGCAAGAAGCTCATTTCTAGTACATTTATGGGCTTTTCTCGCTTGTGTGTGAACGTTAAATGCGCTTACTGTAAATTCACAATTAAGGTAATTACGTGTGAAAGCCATTTGCGGAATCAAGTTTTATTTTCCATTTATTTTCGGAATGCCTCATTTCCATTTTATTATCACTTTCTGGCCCACATGTGATAACGTCCAGAGTTTGGCACCAAACAAACTTTTAAGGGACGACTGGAATCGCATCCAGTTCCGGAAAAGGATGGCCAGTGTCCAGTATAAAACCAAAATGCCTTTTTTCCATTGCAAAAGCATTCAAGTCTTTCTCTGCAGAGATATAAAGGATAAAGTACCAGCACCAAATAGCCACAGAAAATAAGGGCATTTGCTATAATGGCATATGAGCCAATGGTGCATGGCTCTTTAATAATCTTTCCCTGGTTTTGTCTGCTAGAGGATGAAACCTCCCAGATATGTTTGCCCACCCAGGGATGTGGATTTTCTGGACAAAGTAGAACCAGAAAAACAGAATTAGAAAATGTGCCTGTGCAATAAATAATGCCCACGATATTAACATACAGTAGGGTACCTAGAATATTTGACACCTGGATGGATTTTTTAATACCTCACACCAACAAAATTATTCTTAGTAATCATCATGAAATGAAACTAACACTAATGTTTTTGCAACTGATTCCAATGTTGTTCATGCACCATAATTCCTGCATATCACTGAATGCAATGGCAATTGTTGCGACATAAACAATTAGCAAAACTGACATTAATGCCTTCTTGCAAAATTGTAAAAGCCGTTCTTCCAAGTCTAGGAAAATCCTAGTAGATGTGCAAATGTCACAGGACTAGGAAGTGCCCATCATGATGCAGGGTGACCAGATGTCCTCCTTTTCCAGGACATTGTCCTCCTTCTGCCCAGGAGGAATTCCCAAATGTCCTCCAGCACGACCAAGAAGCATGAATGTACATCTGTGTTTTTAGCTGTTATTGTGTCATGTCCTCCATTCTTCTTGAATGTGCTACCATACTTTTCAGGGCCTTGCTCCCCTTTAATAATAATAATAATAATAATAATAATAATAATAAAATGTATTTGTATCTCGCCCTTTGGGAGACCCAATCCGGGCGGCTCACAACAGTAAAATCATACATAAAGCCAAAAACATTTCCCTCCCCCCCCTTAAAACAGTATTAAATCAAAAAAAGATTAAAATCACAATCAAGAAGTTTAAAAACATAATGCTAATACATGACATTGGCCCATAGAAATATGGAATGAGGACATCTGGTCACCCTGATCATGGTGAGGATGGGCAAGCTTGACCTCCAAGCCAGGGGCAAAGCAGACTTTGGAGAGCGGGTGCGCTGCAGGGCCAGCCTGTGTACAACTGGTCGGTTGTACTGATATTGTGGGTTTTGTTCTGCCCCCGAGTGCTCCTGGCTCTCCTTCGGGGTCTCCCCATCTCCGCTGGCACCAAGACCCTCCGTCAGCCCACCCCGCGAAGATGCTCTCGCTTGCTTCTGCATGCCACCCCTTGCCTCTCATCCCCGCTCTCTGTCTCTGGCCAGGCCTGCTCCTAGACGCTGCTGCGCCGGTTCCTGTTGATCCTGGACACAATGTGGTCCAAGTCCAAACTCTTCATCATCACCTCCATGAATTCCTCATCTTTCCGGGCGCCTTCCACAAACTCCTCCAGCGAGAGCTCACCTGTGGCAGATGGGGAGAAACAGAGAGAAAAAGAGAGGCATGTTGAGCAAAGGGAGGGAAGAGACATCCTTTCACACATCAGGGACCATGGGAAGGAGAACCCATTTAGGGTCCTGAGGCCCTTTCACACATCACAGTTGTTTCGCTATGATTCTGCTTTAATCCATTGGGTTCCACTGGGTTGCATCCTGCAAAATCCTGAGATCTGCCATTTACAATTCTTTGCCTGGGAGGCCATTGTGTGCCTTGCTGAACTATGAAAGCTTTGGCTGAACACAACCTAGGCTCTTTGTAGCTATTCTAAAGGAATGCCCGAAGGAAGGTGCCTTCGTGTATAAGATGCCCTATGCCCAATGGAGACTGCTTGCTTAGAATAAAGCTTTCCTTTAAAAAGAAAATCTCCTTTTCCCCATGCCATGTTCATGTTCCTTGTTGTGTGTGCACGCATGCGTATAGGATTCCCATCTCCCCAAAGGAAAGCCTCTGCAGAGTCGGAGGTGGAAGAGTGCAAGTGACGTCCCTCCATAACGCCCCATTGAATTACTGGGTCAAGTGGGTTAAAACCAATGGGTGATGGCAGCTAGATGATCTCAAGGTGTCCCCTTTGCTACCAAGGAGCAGGAGGGGGGATCTCTTTACAAAGTGGGACATTTTAAGAGCGGCTGAAAAAGTGGGATGACAACAGAGGCTCAACTGAGACTGTCCCTCTCATTTACAGCACTTTCGGGTCCTCATTTGGGGACACCAGTGGAACAACTGGGAGCAACTTTTGGGAGACCAGAAGTCACTTTGTGTGGCTTTTGGAAGTAAGTGTGGGCTGTCGTTTAGGTAGTGTGGGTTGAAACAATTTTGGGGGGTACAATCTAAGCTCCCCAACGGCTATTTCTGGACACAAAGGCATGGTGTTTTTTTAAGCATACATTTATACATATATATTCCCAAGGTTTACATGCAGCCTGGAGGCCACATAATTCCCAGCCATGCAATAGTGTGTTATCCATGGGAATAAATGACATTTTGGATGCAGAGGTTTTCCTCCTCCATTGGATTTGGAGCTACACTGAAATGCTGGACAGGGTGGGAAGCTCACCCAAAGTGTAAAAGTGTGCACATGTGTGTAGTGTGTGTTGTGTATGTGGAGTGTGCATGGGAAGTGCCAGGGGATCTCACCGTCTCCGTTGACATCAATCCTATCAAAGACTCGGTTGGTGAATTCCTCTGCGGTCGTCTCGTGGTTGCAGCCGCTAATGGCCCGAATCGCCTGCAACAGAAGAGTTTATCGCTTATTTATTGGGATCAATAATCACCCACATTTCCTCCAAGGATGTGAAAGAGGCAACAACCTTGTGAAAACACAACCATACACATCAGGCATAAAAACCAAGCAAGCTGAATGACCCAGAAGTAAGATTACAACGACAGCATCTCTGCAAATGACGTGGGCTCTCATGTCAGTGGGGCGGAGAGACCGCTCCGGGTTTTAGTCTGAACTTTAAAAGGAACTATCCAAGGTGCTGAATCTTGTCCCACCAAAAGGTTCAAGATTTTGGGAGCCCCCCCTTTAAAGTCTGGATGAAAAACCGCAAACGGATTCCTTGTCCATCTGAGACAGAAACAACCTACTGCCACTATCGCCATTTATTTATTTCAAGGATTTAGTTCAAGGATTTGCCATTATTGTTCACCTTCAAGTTATTTCCAATGTATGGTGAACCTAGCACAGGGGTTTTTTGGGGCCATATTTATTCAGAGGAGGTTTACTTTTGCCTTCCTCTGAGGCTGAGACAATGTGACTTGCTCAAAGTCTCCCAATGAGCTTCCATGGCTGAGTGGGGATTCGAACCCTGGTCTCTTAGAGTCCAGATCCAGCACTTAATGCATTACACCATGCTGAGTCTCTTTCAAATAAATGCTTTTCCAAAGAGACATGAGCCTACATTAAGGAGCTGGTCAGCATCTGAATGGAGGGCATCTTTTGCTCAAAGCAGGACAAGCAGTGATGGGTTCTTCATGGTTTGCCATTACCTTCCTATTTTAGGCTGAGAGAGTGTGACTTGCCCAAGTCACCCAGTGGGTTTCCATGGCTGAACGAGGATTTGAACCCTGGTTTCCCAGAGTATTCCTTTTTAAAATTTAATCTGCAGGAGTGAAGCAAGCATGACCAAAAAAACCACACGACGGCATCAATTTTCCATTAAAAACAATTATCAACAAGCAAGATTATTAACCAAAATAACAATACAGAAAGGCTAAAAAACAACAAATGTTAAACTTCTGTTTGTTATAACTAGACAATGCAATTGAAATTAACTCCTAAAGCTATTTTAATTGTCATTTTTGTAAAGTTGTTAATTGTACAGTGTTTTTAGATTATAGGCAACCCCTTTGGGTCCCAATTCTGGGAGAAAAGTGGGATACAAATTAATAGAAGAAGAAGAAATAATAATTAAGACGAAGAATGGTTAGTGACTAGTACAAATTATAAATTACAAATCTAGAAACAGACGATTTTTCATCAGTCAGCAATTTGTCAAGGCCTCCTGCCTCCCTTTCATAGCAGAGATTGTGAGACTGAGAGAATGTGACTTGTCCAAAGTCACCCAGACAGCTTCCATTTCAGAGTCAGGATTCGAACCTTGATCTCCCAGACTCCTAGTCTAACATCCCAACCACTATACCACACTGGGATAGATATGTATTTATACTTATATTCCTATATAAGTATTAGAATTTGGAATTCCAAACATTCCTATATTTGGAATTCTGAAACCCGAAATGCTCCAAAATCCAAAAGGTTTTTCACGTTTTGGCAGAGATTGTGACACCTTTCCTTCCTGACAGTTCCGCGTACGCAAGCTTTGTTGTGCGCACAAAATGATTCACAATATTATGTATAAAATTACCTTCAATTTTAAATTACCTTCAAAATTACCTTTGTGCATGCGCACGATGGTGGGCGCCATTTTGGAACGCCCGACGGCCCGTCGTCGCGCGCATGGGTGCGCAAGTGCGGTCGCCATTTTGGACGCCGGTCCCAAGGCTTCCGTGGGCCGCACCCAGCCTGCGGGCCGTAGGTTACTGACCCCTGATCTAGACACTATACTTCTATTGACGCAGCCTAGAACCGCATTGGCCTGTTTAGCTGCTGCGTCACACTGTTGGCTAAAGTAATTATAAGGTCTGGCACACCATAAATAAGTTGGACAAGATATAAATGGACAAATGAGATAATGTACTTATTGTGGATCATTACTGTATTCTTTTCTTTTTCAAAATTTTGTAATGGAAAATGTACGTATTTATGCATTTAAGATTTGAGAACATGTTGGTTGAATAAAAATATTATATAAAACAATTAAAACTATGAGGACGTTTTACGTCCACCCCACAATTTGCTGGCTGAAAGAGCTGCACGAAAGGTCTCTCTGTCTACACACAACACACACAAATACACAAACACACACCTCTGACCCCATTCGATGACCAGGGTTTCTTGCTGTTAGGCTATGGAGCATGACCAAAAACCTTTGGTGCAGACTCAGCGTTTCCTTTTGCAACAACAACTCCTTCTCCCTCAAAACTGTGACCGAAACGTGGTCAGAAAGTGCAATGGCCTTCCTCCATTTAGAGGTCCGAGAAGAAAGGAAAGGTCTGAGAGACCCAGCGGATGGGATGCCTTGGGATGGGATGCAGAAATCCCCCGTCTTGATCCATTGCATCAAGAAATAAAACGAATGCGACTTGTTTCCTGACCAGCGCAATGCCTTCCCATGAAAGGTGTAGAGCAGGGGTGCACAAAATGGGGGAAACCTCAAGGAACGGCAATTCACTTTTTAAACAGATTGCACACGCACACCCCCTTGCATTGTTTAATACTGCTTCTTAAATAGTAAAAAATTTTGGAACTCTGGTTGGCGTTCTGCATTGCTGTTACGGATTCGTAACCCGGAGTTAGGGATTTGTATCTACTCGGTATTCCAGGGTAGCCGCGTTTTGCGTACACCAAAGTACGGCAACGTCCAAAATTCACTAAGCAGCAATACCTTTATTGGGACAACCCAAAAGCACGAAATACATCACGCAGGCTTCCGAAGCTGCATTGGCTTCTTCGCCAGGCAAAGGTGTTAAAATGTGTTTAAAAGACACAAAATGCATTTTAGAGTTGAGCATATCTCATTTTAGCGGCAACAGGTGAATCCTAAACAAGAGAGAACTAAGGACTGGGACTTAAATCTTTGAGGATTTACCTCCAACAAACTCCTTGTAGAGAGGTCTTGTAGCACCTTTGAGATTAGCTGAAAGAAAGAAGTTGGCATATCCAGTGGCTATGTCTTTGGACATAGGGATCCCATGCAAAAATGGGATTTAAAACAGGAAAAACCTGCAAAAGCGAATTGATTTTCGCACGCCGTTGAGCATTAACCCGGAAAGAAAGCAGACATGACGTGGAAAAAAATCTGCAAAAGTGGATTGATTTTCACACGACGTCGGGTTTAATGAGCATTAACACGACATTAACCCGGGCAGAAAGTCAACAAAACGCAATTCTTTTTACCTTCAGGAAATCCCAAAAGTAAAAATAATTGTATTTTGTCCACTTTCTGTTCGGGTTAATTGCTCATTAACCCCGATGTATGTGAAAACCCACATTTGCAGTTTTTTTGGGTTTTTAAAATCCGGTTTCTGCATGGGATTTGGGCACTTTGCCCCAGTGTGATAAACTTCTTTGTCCACAAACAACTATTGTTCAAACTGGACTTGCTATTTCATTCCCGTACACAAAGGATTTTGGATTCGAATTGACATTCTCACACACCAAGGGCACGTATATGTCTGTCCCTGGTTTCCATTCCACTAAATGCATCTGAGGAAGTAGACTGAAGGCTAGGAAAGCTCTTGCTGCCAACTTCTTTCTTTCAGTTTGTCTCGAAGGTGCTGCAAGATCTCTTTGCAGACTGATTCTAGAGACAAACACAGCTACGTCTTTGAATTCATGACCTCCTTAATAGAGTCCATCCATCTAGCATGCGGTCTTCTTCTCTTCCTATTTTCCTCCACCTTTCCTAACATTATTGTCTTTTTCCAAAGAGTCCTCCCTTCTCATGATGGGTCCAAAAAAGTATGATAGTATCAGTTTGGTCACCTTGCCTTCTTCCAGGGAGATGTCTGGCGTGATCTGTTCTAGGACCCATTTCTTCGTCTTTTTGGGATACGACCTGCCAAAAGCCTCAAGACATACAATTTATAAAGCCGGAAAGCATCCTTCTTAAGCTTGCCCAAGAGAAGCCGTCTTAGTGCCTCTCCCGCCTTCGGACACTTCCATAGCTGAGTGCATAGGCTTCAAGAATAGCCCGTTCCAACCCAGAACAAGAGTTTACCTGGACCAAGAACATTGCAATAGGACCGGCCCCTCGGTCTCATTTGGACTGAGCCCAATCCTCTGTTTGTTAGCCCTCATCCGGAGCATGACCGTGGCCAGACACTACATTGCTCTAGCTAGCTGCTCTTTTAATTCCATAAGCGGCTTTGTGCATCCCAGGGAGAGGAAAGCAGGACAGAAATAATAAATCTAATGTACTGTAAATCGATCTAATGAACACTTTGCAGGAGGCAAACATGGGGCAGAAGGATATTTGAGCGGTGAAGGGTTTTTTCTTTTGCCCTCGATGGCCCTTGGTTCCCTTCCAATTATGATTCTATGAAAAACCAGTTAGCTACAAAACAGACTGCAGAAATAATAATAATAATAATAATAATAATAATAATAATAATAATAATAATAATAATAATAATAATAATAATAATTTATTTCTAACCCGCCCCTCTGACAAGGAATCAGGGTGGCTTACAACATTAAAATTTATACAATATAATACAGATTACATAAAAGTAACCTGAAAACCCCCAAACCACCCGCCCCTTAAAAAATTATTAAATCAGATTATATATTAAAACATATTAAATGAATAACTCAGTTTGAGGCAGCTCAGTGCTAGGAAATCCTGGGAATTGTAGTTTATTGTGGCACCAGAGCTCTCTGACAGAGAAGGCTAAATGAGTCCAGGAGGAGGGTGAGATATGAAATAATAATAATAATAATAATAATAATAATAATCTCACAAAACTACAGTTCTCAGAATCCCCTAGCATTGAGTTGGACCATAGTCTGATCTTTGGTCATGCAAAGGGATGTTGTAGTAACTTTGAGGCTAACTGTAGTGAAAGATGTTGCAGCATAAGATGTTTCGTAGATTTGGGCTGCATCCACACTGCAGAAATAATCCAGTTTGACACCACTTTAACACCACTTCCATGTTGTGGAATCAAGGCATTTGTGGTCTGTTATGGCACCAGCGCTCTCGGACAGAGGAGATGAAATATCTCACCAAACGACAAAGTTCAGGATTGCACAGTATTGATCAATGGCGGTTAAAATGGATTATTGCTGCAGTGCGGATGCAGCCTTGGTCTACTTTCCTCGGACGCATGGAGTGCCCAGGAAGGACAGTCAACCTTTGGTCCTAGAACCAAAGAGTTGGAAGGGGCCATAAGGGACATCTAACCCAACCCCTTGCTATGCATAGACCCAGATTTGGTCCTCCAGATGTTTTGAAAGTAATCTCAGAGGGCCCTCAACCCTTGGACCATGCTGACTGGGGATTCTGGGACCTGCCCACGTGTTTCAGATGGCCAGATTCAGAGGACAAGGAAGGAGATTCTGGCTAAATATTGGGAAGTGCTGGACTCTCCTTCCTTGGAGGTTTTGAAGCAGGGGCTGGATGGCCACCTCTCAAGGGTGCCCTTGTTCAGGGCTGGACTATATGGCCTTTGGGGGACTCCTTCCAACTCTATGACTTTGCAACCAAGGAGCCAGACTCCCTTGACGCCAACCAAGGGAGTCCCGAGTCTTGTGTGGAGATGCAAGGGCAGGAATCGATGGCCTTTTCGGTTACAAGGTCCATGTCGAGCAGTAAGCTATTAACAGGTGGGCAGAGGATGGAAAACCAAGTCAGGCGCAGAGTTTTTCCAAGACGGTTCTTTCTGTTTGTTGAAATGCCTGCAGCTTCAGCTCTTCCAGAAGGACTTGACTGTTATAAAACTGACTAGGGACTGCCGTCTCAGTGCTAGGGAATCCTGGGAAACCACTCACACGAGGGAAATCCTGGGCAGAAACAGGATTGAAAAGCTGGGGAAACCTGCAAAAGCGGGATGATTTTCATACACATTGCTGTTAATAATAATAATAATAATAATAATAATAAAATTTATTTTTATCCTGCCCTTTGGGAACCCAATCAGGGTGGCTTACAATTAAAAATACATTATATCCAAAACAATCCCTCCTCCCCTTAAAACAGCATTAAATCAAAAAAAAGATTAAAACAATAAATCCAACAATATAAAATTTAAAACACATTTAAAAGAAAAAAAAATATGGTTAACCAGAACAGAAAGTGAAAATCGGGACACATATAGCTCAGCACCATCAGTGTGACCAAGATAGTTGTTAGACAAGCTAGAAGAGGCTGCAGCAGTCTTCTTTTGTCTAAATATCACATGAAGAACAATATTCTGCCCCTTGTTCTCTCTTCTCATGCTTTCTGAGCTGATGGAGTGCAAACAACTTTCGCACTTTGAACTCAGTTTGCAGCAAGGAAAAGAAGCTGAGCAAAAAGGCGGAAGGTGG